AGGCTGGGTTGGACAGCACAGCCTCTTTCTCAGGGACAGGCCAAGACTTGAGTGGGACAGACGGGAGATAGGCACAGACTTTAAGATACTATAAAGGTCCCTGAGGCTCCTGTACCCTCCATGGGTGGCTGTATCCCATCATAATGTGCCTAAGCTCAGCACTGCTGCCCCATGTGTGACCAGCCTTTTTGCTGGAGCTTCACTGGGCTATGATCCCACCATGTCCCATGTTTCAAACACCCCATCTGTGGGGAATAAAAGCTCTGGTGCTAAAAGCCACCTCACAGTCTATAGGAATTTGGCCAGAACATGACTGGGTTCCAGGAGTCTGAGCCCTCTTCGTAGGTGGCCACTGGGCTGGAACTGGCCCTGGTGTTATCAAGGAGCAATCAGCTGGCACAGGATGGAGTATAGCCTATATCACCAAGGACCTGCAGGTCCTTTGGGGTCACAAGAATGGTTGGGGCATTCATAGGTATGAGGAGCAGATGGCCATCTCCACACCAGACTTGAAGAGACCTAAAGACTTGGCTCACATGCAGCAGAATTCTTTCTGCCCAAGGCATGTGGAGTCTGAGGTGCGGCCGCCTAGGACTTGGTGGCAGCCTGAGCTTGGCATCTAGAGGCCCTACCTCTGCCCTGCTCACTCCATTGTGAGTACATCAGCAGTGTGTGTGTTGAAAATGCTAAACCATATACTACACAGTGAGTGGGCTGTGGTTGGCTTCCCACCCCACTGTAGGCGTCCTGACTACAGTGGACGTAGATGGCTGTGGCACAGATAGACAAACCTCTTGGTCCTGTAGGGGAGCTGAGGGCAGGACCTGGGGATGTAGCTCAGTGTAGAGTGCTTGCCGAGCACACAAATGCCCTGGATTCTATCCCTAGCATTACCAGAAAGGAAAAGAAAAAAACAGATCTTCTCTAAAAGGAAAACTCAGAATTAACCTTTGAGGAGCCACCAGCCACATCCCAGAGGTTATGCCTACTGTGTCCACCAGTGAGGGCTGGGCCTCGGCTCCTCCTGTCTTCCCCATGCTGGCCAAGGACAGACTTGTCCCCATGAGACATGGCAACTCCTGGGGCTTCATTTATGTTTCCCTGAGGACACATGCTGTCAGTGACAGTAGACAATGGTTTACAGTGGCAAAAAGACTCCCCAAAGATACCATCCCAGCATCTTGATAGCACCAGAGTTGGTGACAACATAGCGGTAGTTACATGCTGAGTGCATGGTGCACCTGTTAACATGACTTCTGAGTAAAAACAAGAGGAATCAAAATGACACAAATGCCTGTGCTGGGACTTCAGAGCTGAAGGTGCTGTTTTCCCTCCATCTGCCCCACTCCTTTTTCAACACATGACAGTCATGTGTGTATACATGTTTCAACCAGTACTGACTGCTGTGGCAAGGTAGTTACATGCTGAGTGCATGGTGCACCTGTTAACATGACTTCTGAGTAAAAACAAGAGGAATCAAAATGACACAAATGCCTGTGCTGGGACTTCAGAGCTGAAGGTGCTGTTTTCCCTCCATCTGCCCCACTCCTTTTTCAACACATGACAGTCATGTGTGTATACATGTTTCAACCAGTACTGACTGCTGTGGCAATTCCCATGGAGACGCCCCAGCTCTCAGGGCCCAGTCTCTGGCCCACATTCCTGGGTCATCATCACACACAAGTCGTGCTGGCTGGTGGTGACCCTCCCTGACAGAGCTGCGCTTGACTGCTTCTTGGGCCTTCACTCTTCTCCCTGCCAGAATCTGAGAACAGGAGAGTGGTGCAGGCGGCTATCCAGGGAGGCCCAAGGCCAGCAGGTGGGAACCCACGGTCCACTCTGGCTTCCCACTGCCATTCTTCATCTACCCACCTCCAGAGACCAGCTCAAGGCCTCACTTTCCAGGCCAGCCCCCTCCATGTCCTAGAATATCTGTGAATGTCCTTAGTTGCCTCAATCAGGAGCTGATTGGCCCCACATGCAACAACCCCATGACCTGGGCCTTCTTCTCCAGCTTTGCCAGTGCTGAATACCAAGCTGCCCTCAGCAGGACCACCCTGGTTGTCCAGCAGCACCAAGAGTCCTTGGTCCCTGGACAGCCCCAGCTCAATGTGTGTAACCAAGCTGTCATGGTGAGTGGTCTGTGCATGCTGGGGCTTGCCTGTGCTTAGCTACTGCTGCCCATGCTAGAAGCTAGCTTCTGTTTTGAGGACACCTTGGCTCCTTGTACACATGAAGCTTAGCCTGACAAGGTGGACTCCAGCACCGTAGAGGAAGTCATCGTTTTGGGCAGTGTGGGAGGGAACTGACAGGGGCACTCCCCTAACACTAAGGACTGTTGAGGGTGATTGGCCTTACCTATTGCTTAGGGACTGGCTGCCCTGCTAAAGGGTTGTTCAGGACTGGATTGGACACAGCCTCCCCAGTTAGAGGGGCCATTAAGGAATGGCTTGCTCATTGCCTGTGTGCAGAATGTCACCAAAAGACTTTCCAGGGGGTTAACCTGTGCTGCTGGTGTTCGGCCTCTGGACAACTCTAGGTGGAGCAAGGAGTCCCCCAGTGAGGCCATGCCGCTCCATCCAATCTGCAGTACAGGCTTAGTTCAGTGAGTGACCACTGGGAGGAATACCTTCCTTTCCTAACACCTTGGTGTGTTTTTGCCTGGCTTCCCCTCCTTGGGAATGTTGCCCAGGATGTGGGCAGTTGTGTAAATTTCTGCCCTGAGGCTGTTGCATTGGGTCTCACTCTCCTTGCTGCTTGCTTGTGAGTTACAGACCCATCTGCTCCCTTTTCTGCAGGCCTGAGGCTGCTGTATAAGGAAAGCCCTGGGGCACCACGTTCCAGTAATTCAGAAAGGCATGGGGGTGTGTCTCTGCACTGCAGCCAAGTGGGTGGGTGACGTGGGAGGTCAATAGCCTATTAAATGCTCAGACCAGAAAATCCTGGATAACTGCAATTCATTTTCTTGAATTTTGTTTCCTAGAACTGGGCACCCCCAGGCTGTGAAAAGTTAGGGAAATGTCTGACACCTCCAGAGTCTGTCCCAGAGAAGTGCTCCTGGCCCCATTAGCCCCTCAACCTGTAGCAAGGTCCCAAAACAATGGCTGCTGGAGCACTGGCCCCGGAGTCCATCTTGTCGGCTCCTGTTGAGAAAGAAGCATCTCCAACTCCCCCTGCTGGCCTTGGTGGCCCAGTGCTGCAGCCCAGATCTGGAGGGCTGACACCTGGCCTCCTCCTAGTCACTGCATCTGTGGTAACTTTGGTGTTGTAGGCAACGGTGAAGACTCAGTGCCCTGCAGAGAAGCCACCAACTACCCAGCCATCAGCGATCTCCCACCTCTTGAGTCATTCATTCTCCCTCTTCCTGATAGAGTACACTGCCCAGCCCAAAAGGGAGCTGATGCTGCTGCCCTGTGGAAATATGAAGGTGATATAATCCTAAGTGCCATAATTCAGTGGTGCCACATCTGCTGCACCTGCCACCTGTCATGTGCAAGCCACCCAGTGCAACCTCTGAGACCCTTTCCCTGAAGGCTCACTGGACTTGGCCATGAGCTAATTTTCACATCTGTGCAATGACTGTCATGCCAAAGCTGAATGGCAAAGTTTGGAAAATAATAGACCAAGAGAGCAAGAATAAAGGAACAGGAGGTGCGTTAGCTCTGTCATTCTGGTTCTTAAAACGGATAGTGATGGCACATGCCTTTAACCCCAACGCCCGGGAGGCAGAGGCAGGTGGAGCTCTGTAGGCCAACCTGGTCTACATAGCGAGTTCCAGGCCAGCTGGAACTACAGGGAGACCCCATTTCAAACAAGACCCACCAGAGATTGTGTATTAGGAGACAATGCACCTTAGATTTCAGTGTACCTGTTGTGTGATCTTTTCTTGGGAAAAAAACATCTACTCCAACCAGAGCACCAACAACAGACCAAAGTAACCATTCTATCCAAATCCAGCTTGATGAACCAGTGAGTTTATTACAGGAGCATGGATGACCCCAGAGCAGCTGGATGATGGCTTCCCTATGGCTGCATCTGATGGCATCTCCCCTTCAGTTACCTTTCCATCCTGTTTATACTTTAGCACCTCCAGACACCAGTCAGATGGCAAAGCTGCCGTGGGGGCGGAGTTTCTGGAATCTCAGCTGAGGGTCTAATGGCCCTCCCAGGCCCTCTCCTGTGGGGAAACAACAGCCTGCACTGAGGAAACATGGCTGTGACGCTCAGTGGACAGCCTTCCACCACAGTGCCTGTGGGACCAGGGACTCTGCTGCAGATAGAAAGGTCTGCGCCCTCCAGGTGGGCCTCCTGGCTGGCTAAGCTCCATCATCCCCTGGGAGGTGGGGTCCCATTCAGGCAGGCCGGCCAGAGTGGGCCTCTCAGATCCGCTGCATCCTCCCGACGGTTCCCAGCGCTTCCCCTCCGCTGCAGGCCGTGCACATTGCAGTTGCGACCCTGGGCCCGAGACCATCTGCCAGTCTTTTCGGTTAGCTCCGGGAGCGTAGGGGCAGAGTGTCAGCTCCCTAGCACTGCGAACCGGAAGCACAGGACGCGAGGCAGGTGCGGGAGGCTGGCAGGGGAGGTGCAGGCCGGAAATAGGGCGAGCCGGAACCCCAAGGGGCACCGAGGTGAGGTCCCTTTCCTTCCCGTACGTCCTAGAGGTGAGGATGCGTCTGTTCAGTAGCGCAAGAAATGGCCATGCGTTTTCACTCCGATGTCACCTAGGGTGGTTTGAAATACACTACTTCCTGCCCGAGGCCACGCACCGGTCTCCTCCTCGCGGACGCCCCGCCCCGTCCTGGCCACGCCATATACTTTAGCACCTCCAGACACCAGTCAGATGGCAAAGCTGCCATGGCGGTGGACTTTCTGGAATCTCAGCTGAGGGTCTAATGGCCCTCCCAGGCCCTCTCCTGTGGGGAAACAACAGCCTGCACTGAGGAAACATGGCTGTGACGCTCAGTGGACAGCCTTCCACCACAGTGCCTGTGGGACCAGGGACTCTGCTGCAGATAGAAAGGTCTGCGCCCTCCAGGTGGGCCTCCTGGCTGGCTAAGCTCCATCATCCCCTGGGAGGTGGGGTCCCATTCAGGCAGGCCGGCCAGAGTGGGCCTCTCAGATCCGCTGCATCCTCCCGACGGTTCCCAGCGCTTCCCCTCCGCTGCAGGCCGTGCACATTGCAGTTGCGACCCTGGGCCCGAGACCATCTGCCAGTCTTTTCGGTTAGCTCCGGGAGCGTAGGGGCAGAGTGTCAGCTCCCTAGCACTGCGAACAGGGAGCACAGGACGTGAGGCAGGGTGAGGGAGGCTGGCAGGGGAGGTGCAGGCCGGAAATCGGGCGAGCCGGAACCCCAAGGGGCACCGAGGTGAGCTCCCTTTCCTTCCCGTACGTCCTAGAGGTGAGGATGCGTCTGTTCAGTAGTGCAAGAAATGGCCATGCGTTTTCACCCCGACGTCACCTAGGGTGGTTTGAAATACACTACTATCTGCCCGAGGCCACGCACCGGTCTCCTCCTCGCGGACGCCCCGCCCCGTCCTGGCCACGCCCAACCCCTTGAGTGCCCCGCCCACAGGACGCCCCGCCCCTCCTGGTAGGACTGGTCCTCAGTTGCGCCCGGCCAACTGCGCCACCGCTATCCTTCCCCTCCGCGCACGCGACCATGGCGGAACCTGAGCTGCAGCTGGTGGCGCGGCGCATCCGCAGCTTCCCCGACTTCCCCATCCCGGGCGTGCTATTCAGGTGTGGGCACGAGCCGGCTAGGCGTTGGCGCCGCGCTCCGGACTCCCGGCGTGGGCGCGTGGCCGGCCCGGGGATCCCGTGGGCCCCAGGCCGGACCAGTTCCGGGTCACCAGCCTGCCTCTGTTCCCAGGGACATCTCGCCTCTCTTGAAGGACCCGGATTCCTTCCGCGCTTCCATCCATCTCCTGGCCAGTCATCTGAAGACCAAGCACGGAGGCAAGATCGACTACATCGCAGGCGAGTGGCCGCGCCCGGCCTTGCCCGTCTCCCCTGCCCAGGCTCCCCCATCCTTCTTCCCTTCCTGTTCCCCGTAGCCTGTCCCACAGCCATTCCTTCCTTCATCACCCCCTGGCCCTCATCCCGCCGTTCTTCCCCTGGGCGTTGTCCAGTGAGTGACTACTCTCCCCCCTGCGGGACCACCTCTGACCTCTGATACCCTCACTGCCGGTTCCTGCTAGAGATGGCCTCTGCTGTACCCTCGAGTCCAGGGCTAGCCTTTCCTCTTACAGGGTGCAAGGTTGGCTAGCACTCTGAGAGCAGGGTTTGTGGCGTTCACGTGTGCTTTCACGTGCTTTTGGGGGTCCCCGGACCTTCAGATAGGTGACGGATATACTAGCATGGGATGAGCAAAGTATTTCCCAATCTGGTAGCCCTGGGACAGTGTTGACTATAGGGAAGGCCTCGGCAGGCCTCTACTGTCATTGCCGACAGCCTGGCTGCCTGAAGGACTGATTATCTCCCAAGACCCTCTGACCTGAATCCACTGGGCTACCTCCCTCTTGTTCAACCTCCATCCCCTTCAAGCTTGTGCTGGAACACCTACCTGTGTACCGGGCTCCATGTGTTGGAGGGAGGACCCCTGAGAGAACAGCGTAGCTTTGGCAAGTTTTGCTGCCCAGACCTGCTCAAGCTGCCCTGAAGGTGGCTCGGCTGTCTCCAGGGCCCACAGTGTTGCTGCCTCCCTCCTCTTCACCTCCTACTGACTCTTATTACACTCCAGGAACGTAACCACAGCTCAGGCCATGTGGAGATGGCATGGCCCCAGCACATGAAGTGTTCCTGGGCAGATGTGGCCCTGACCTGTACAGAGGGCAGGTATCTCCAAGGCTAAGACGCTGCCCCATAGCCTTCAGCCTTCTAGCTGTCACCAAGACCTAGTGCACCTATCTCCATAGTGCTGTTGTCCCTCCAGCCCTGTCTTGTGGGGACCCCATGCTCCTTAGCTCCACCCAACACTCCCCTCATCCTGACAGGCCTAGACTCCAGGGGCTTCCTGTTTGGCCCCTCCCTAGCCCAGGAGCTGGGCCTGGGCTGTGTGCTCATCCGGAAGCGTGGGAAGCTGCCAGGCCCCACGGTGTCAGCCTCCTATGCACTGGAATATGGGAAGGTGAGTGGGCTGGGGGTAGCTAGAGGGGCAGGGCCAGGTCATTCCGCCAGTGTCCTTCACCTTACCTAGGAGAGTAAATTTGGGAACTCGGAGGTTGAGATACCTGGTCAAGTTTACACAGCCTGGAAACTTGAGGGGCTAAGGGTAGAACCAGGTCTGGGGAGGTGGCCACTTAGATCCTAGGCTCTCATACTACTTCCTGTCTGCAGGCTGAGCTGGAGATCCAGAAAGATGCCTTAGAACCTGGGCAGAAAGTGGTTGTCGTAGATGATCTCCTGGCCACTGGTGGTAAGAGCCACCCCAAGGCATACAACAGGTCCCAGGGGATCAGGCCCAGCCCTACCCTGGGTACTGAGGTGGTATTCAAGCCAAGAGCCTTGTAGCCTTTGACCACTTCTTCCTTGTACCTTTACCCCAGGAACCATGCGTGCGGCCTGTGAGCTGCTGGGCCAGCTACACGCTGAAGTGGTGGAGTGCGTGAGCCTGGTGGAGCTGACCTCGCTGAAAGGCAGGGAGAAGCTGGGGCCTGTGCCCGTCTTCTCTCTCCTGCAGTACGAATGACTGGGGCTGGATGGCTGCCACACCTGCACCTAGCATCTACAGCTGGACAGAGGCTCAGCCCTGGGCTCAAGAAGTGGCTTCTGTGGGCCATCACCTGCCCTTCAGAGATTTTGTGTCCACTTGATTTATTGGTCAGCTGATCCCCTTATCTATGGGCTGCCTGGGCCCTGCCTGTATTTTCTAGAAATGCTAAAACCTGAGGCAGAGCAGACTGTTACTGAAGTTATGGTGCTCACAATATCAGAGTAAAATGCTTTGCTACACCTGTGTTTCCTGTCATCCTGCTGTGTGGGGACCATGTGACTCAGACTCAGTCTCCACTGTGCCGCCTGTTAGAAGCAAAACCTGAGGTTCAAGGACCCCATCAAGAATGCAAACAGAACACGTGGACAAAGCGAACTAAGGCAGATCCAGCAAGCACACAGGACCCAGAAGTTGGATGGGTTTTTATCCCTAAAAGCAAGAGTACTGTGTCTTTTCTCCATTGGCTGGGGTCCAACCTTAGTCTTCCCCAACTGGCTAGTTTAAAAGGGAGCAAAGGACAGTACCACTGCCCCGGGCCTTTCCTTGAATCATAATTACAGGGTCTGGTGAGATTGAGAGATTAAAATTCCTTGTCCTAAACCAAGTTTTTCCAAGCTTTGAAAGAAAAGACTGTTTAATGTTTCTTACATTCCCAGGTAACATAGTATACTGCTGCCTGGCAGGGCACAGGGCTCAATGTGACCAAGAACTTCCTCAGAACAAGCTCAGCAGAGTGATCTCTGTGCAGGATCCACAACCCCAAGGAGGCTGGTGCCACTTCTGCTGCTGGGACAGCTTGATCTGAACAGTCACATTACCTCAGTCTTCCAGGCCATTTCAGGACACTGGAGACCATGAACCACAGGATAATCCAAGGTCACTTTCACTCAAACATCCATTCTGTTTATAGGTACTCGAGAGATGGCTCAGCAGTCAAGAGCAACGGCTGTCCTTGCAGAGGACCTGAGTTGGAATCCCAGCACCCACATGGTAGCTAACAGTCAGGGGATCCAATGCCTTCTTGTCCTCGATGCCACAGCCATACCCCTAGCAAGACTGCTTTTACCCAGACTAATTTTTGCTGGTAGCCTAGTCTTGTTAGGGGATCCAATGCCTTCTGTCCTCGATGCCAGAGCCATACCACTAGCAAGACTGCTTTTACCCAGACTAATTTTTGCTGGTAGCCTAGTCTTGTCATGGTAGAACCCATTTTGCTTCCACAACAGCAGGGTATCATTTAGAGGCTTTAAGCAACCTGTTCAGTAAGGCAGTAATCCAGTAGCACTTTTATTTGTAAATCTTACATGACTCAGCTTTTAAAAAAACCAAGATTGAAAGTTACATCCTCCAGAGGCCGTAGGTATGGATATAAGGCTTGATTGAAATGGTTTTTTAAAAATGAGCTTCATTTTCACACATCCCCTCAAAACCTAGAAAATCAGTTACCTTCATTATATACAGGAGAGGGCCCAGCTTCACTCTGTCATCTCAGAATCTCATTCTTGTAAAATCTGGCCAGAAGTCCAAGTTCTTTGTGTGGGACCTAAGGCTTTGAGCTAGGTAGAGCAGCTTCCCTGAGCACAGGAACAGGACTATGGGCTGGCCGAGGGATTCCACCAGGACCTTTATCTTGGTTTTGACAATAATTGGAACCAGTCTTGAGTAGCTTGTGGGATGGACACCCAGTAAGAGGTGCTTTCCTACTTATCTAAGTCCCTGACACTCCCAAGTGCTGGGTCCAGCTCTGGTGCCCCAAAGCCCTAGAAGCCAATTTAACACCAGCGTACTGTAGAGACCCATGGGCAAAACAGCTGCCCCGGCTGGCAGGAGGCCCTCAGGCTGGCGGCATGTGGGAGGGAAGCCCAAGTGTGTTATACTGATGAAGGAAACAGAACTCAAGTCACAACCCTTCAGCACGGGCCTGGCGGGCCAGCCTCGCAGTGATGCCAGCCAGGTCAGCAGCCTTGTCCAGCTTGATGTAGGTGTCGCTGCGGATGTGATGGAGGCTCAGCCAGTCTGGCAGCAGCTCAGACAGAAGCTGCAGGTGTTTCTCCATCTCCCCTGCAGAAGCCAGTTGGGAGGTTAAACAGTGCCTGGGTGGCTCCCTCAGCTCAGTCACCCAGCCAGGGGTCTTACATCCCTCAACAGGCCTTCCTCAGGGCTTATCCACTTTGCAGAGGACCCAAGTTCAAGACCCAGCACCCACATGGCAGCTAACAACCATCCCCAACTCCAGTTCCAGGGATCTAACACCCTCTTCTGACCTCCACAGGCACTGTATGACATGGTGCGCTTGTATACATGCAGGCAATATGCTCACATAATTTTTTTTTTTTTAAAGTAGGGAGTAAACAGCAAGGGGTCCCAGTACACGGAACCCCAGCCCCATGAAGCCCCAAGGCTGGCGGTCCACAGGTACTCTAAGCCTGGTGATCAGGCCTGTGAGAAAATAGAGGGCTCACATGTGGCCCAGGGTGGCAGAACTGGGATTCCATGACAAGGCCCACAGAAGAACAGCAGTTTGTTCCAGTGAGGCTATGAAGAAGCTGCCGGGAGCCTAGGAGCTGGGCAGTTGAGAGCAACCTACAAGAGGGCACAGTGCCTGACGGGCAGTACATAAAACAGGTGCCTTGTGGTACATGCCTGCTGTGTAACAAGTCCATAGCAGGCATCCCTGCCCCTGGTCAGAAATGGAGTGATGGGCCCAGCTCCTGACAAGGCCACAAGTGGGCATGATGACCACACCTACCCTTGCCCCTACCTTGCCCTGCACAAACCTGGGCTCAGGGCAGCTTGGCAACTGCCCACCATCCTGGCACAGACCACCTCCATGGTGAGTGCTGGCTTACGCTCAGACACAAAGACGCCTCGAAGTACACGGGCCATATCTGGCAAGCGCTCTAACCGCTGCAGCCGCAGCTCCTGCTCTGGGCACCTCATCATCTGTGCCAGCTGCTTTTGGGCCTCCTTGGCCCGGATCTGCAGGGGGGTGAGGGTGAGGAAGAGGTCAGCAGCAACCAATCACACACACTCCCACTTGCCACCAAGGTCCCATTACCCATCACCCAGAACTCACCCGTTCCAACAGGGCCTGGGACACACCCTTCAGGGCACTGGGAGAGGCGGCAGGTGGGGTGGCAGGTGGAGTGGCCGGCAGTGCTGGGCCAGGGGACGCAGGGTTACCAGGCTCAGCCGAGCGCAAGGCCAGGCTACTCAAGGCCTTCTCCATCTGTGAAGTAGGCACACGACAAAGGTTATGAAAGGCAACTGCCCAGCCCTGTAAGGGAAAGCCATTTGCTCTGCCTGGGTGCCACCCATAAACCCCCCCCCCAATAGAGTCCCAATAGAGATACATGGAGTCCAAATGACATACATAGCCAGCTGGGCTGCTCCAAGTCAGGGGAGGTAAGTGGGATGGGTCATGTCCTACCCCTTTGGGCCCTCAGCTGAGATGAGCCAAAGGGTGTCAGGTGACCCCACTGAGACACTTGGCTCTTACCTCCTACCCTCTGGGGTCAGGCCCCAGTACTCCCCTCAGGAGAAAGGTACCAGAGCCTGGCCAGCCTCACCTTGGGTGACATCAGGCTGCGGGCGCGGGCCAGCACCTCTTGGGCAGTGGTGAGCTTCTCTGTGGTAGGAGGCTGGGGCAACTCGGCTGGCTCAATATCCGGCACTTCATCCACATTGAAGCATGGGTGCCAGCGCATCAACTGGTCCTCAGGTACCGCCATAGGGGGATTCAGAGAGGCCAGGAAGGCCTAAAGGAAGGGAGGGGAATGCTGCTGCCCACTTCACTTCCAGATAAGACAGCCCTGGGGAAGTGACTTAACCTCCCTGCACACAAGCTGTGTTGACTAAATGACATGAGTCTTCTTGGGGTTTGAGGTTACTCCTGAGCTCCCAGCTCCCAGGTAGCCCTGGGGGTGGGCAGCCCACTGAAGAAGGGAGTGAGGCACTGAGGGCCAGTGTCCTCTTCCAGAAAGAAACGGACCTGCTCAACAGCCTCGGCAAATCACAGCACTTACTTTGTGATGTTCCTTGACCCGCTCCACCAGGTTCTGCCGGAAGACCTGCCGCCGATGAAGGATGTGTGAGGCTGTGAGCTGGGGGGCACTGCCACCAGCCTCTGTAGGGAAAGATCATGTTGAACCCCAGGCCCATCCAGCTACCCAGCCCATGACTAAGATCCCCAAACCAGGCCTGGCACCAACACCTCATTCTCACCCACAAAATGTGCGGGCTCAGAGGTGAGTAACCAATTCCAAACTTAGTGAGCATCCAGGGCCCCGGCTGACACTCACCCTGATCCAGCAAGGGCTCGATGGTGAGCTGATAATCAGATCTCTTGATGCTATCTTTGAAGGTGGGGACATCGCGTTCTTGGCGGAAGCGGTATGATGTGGGGTACACAGTTTTGATCTGGCCCACATTGCGCTCCTCAAAGCGCCTACAGGAGAAAGGGCTGACTTAGAAGGAACCAGGGAGCATCAGATGCTGACGGCCTAACCTGCTCCCCCCGGACACTCACTTGTGCATCATGTCCTGGACACCTTGTTTGACTTTAGCAAAGGTCACAGTTTCAGAGCGGTTGTGGAGCATGCCCACGATGGTGTCCATGCTGCGGAACATCTCAGCCAGCACCTGGTACTTGTAGGGCAGGACTAGGCCCGGGGGGCAAGGCTGGGCCAGGGCATGGAAGCGCTGGTAGGCAGGGACCTTCTCGACACTGTCAATAGGGAGCAGTCTCTTGAGATCACCAGACCGTCATACACTGCCCCCCTCAACTCTGCCATGAGCAGCAGCAGGGCACAGAGTGGTACACAGCCCCTCACAGCTGGACCCTCAAAGCTACATTTGTAAAGCCCTCCCACACTGGCTGCTGCCTGTGAGCATGACGTCAGGGAGACAAGGAACGGCCTGCTCCACGTACCAGCTTGTGGAGCCCACCTGGTGACCCAGTCTAGAAGCCTCAGCTCTGATAAGCAGAGCTATCCCCTGGTGTTCAGAGGAAGCTAAGGGCAGGAGTGACTGTGATGATGTCAGGGAGACAAGGAACGGCCTGCTCCACGTACCAGCTCTGCTCTGTGGAGCCCACCTGGTGACCCAGTCTAGAAGCCTCAGCTCTGACAAGCAGAGCTATCCCCTGGTGTTCAGAGGAAGCTAAGGGCAGGAGTGACTGTCCTCTCTTCAGGTGGGGACCAGGGAGTGAAGCTGGTGAGCAGGAGACTGGAGTATGTGTCTGGGCAATCTGGTTCCAGGTCCCAGGCCTTCCACTCAGGCCCTGCAGTGCCTGCCATAAGCCTGTCTTCCTCTGGGCCTTGAGGCCCACCAGGACTCACCATGGCTGCTCTGTGGACACCTCCACATCTGGAGTGTGAAGCTCCCCAGCATCTTCCTGGACTCTGGCCCTCAGTGCCTGGACCCGAGCCCCCAACTCACGTGCCCGCTGCAGACAGGACTGGAGCTCAGAGATGGAGTCCTTTGAGGGGACCTAGGGACATAAGAGCTGTCAGGCCAGGCAGTCATCCTCATCCCTACCCACAGCCGGCCTGCAGTTCAGTCTCCTTACCTTGTCCCAAGGCTTTTGAGTTGTGGAGTGGGGCGCTGGGTCTTCCGAAACAGCCACTTTCTTTATTCTCCTAGCAGAAGAAGGATGAACTGGGGAGCCAGGGTCAGCCAAGGAGCCAGAGTCAGCTGGGGGACTGGGGGCAGCCAGGAAGCTGGGGGCAGCTGGGAAGTCAGAGTCAACTGGGGAGCTGGGGCAGGAATCCTGGGAGGAAGGAGGATACTAGTCAATGCACCCGGGTGGGGGTCACCTGCTCTGCAGGAGGGCCGGCTTGCAGGGCTAGAACAAGATTGTCAGTTCACTAGACACCGAGGGTAGGGCTCGGCTGGGCTGGGCTCCACTATGTCTGATGAGGAGGCCTGGAGGGACCTGTCCACCTGGCCTGTTGGACCTGTTTCTTCTTAAGGCAATCTGCAGGCCTGACCCCGGCAGTCAGCTTTACAGGCGGGGTCAGGCAGGCAGGCACTGGCTCAGACTCTCCATTCCGGGAGCCCGAGTCCAAGTCTTCGTGCGACACCCACCCCGACTTGCTGCAGCTTCCTTGCAGGCCGAGGTCCCCTCTGCAGCCATCTGCAACCGGCACCCGTGGGCACTGGGTCCACTTGTCCCGCCTCACCGAGTCCCGCAGCCGCAGCCTCCTGCGCGCGGGGGGCACGGGCTGGTCGCTCCCGGGCACGGTGGTCGGGCGGCCGCGCTTCCGGCTGCCACCGGGGGCGGACACGGAGGTGGCGAGCCTGGTGGGGCTCGGTGTGCGACAGGTCGACTTGGTTCGGGGTGCAGCCAGGCCAGGACGGCGGCGCACATAGAAGTCAGTGACACGGCTCTGCGCCATGGCGACAACAAGCTGCCGGGCGCGGATTTCGCGCGGTTTTCGCGGCGTGGGCTCTGCCCCGCCCAGGCCGTACCATCGAGTGGAGCTCGTGGAGGGGGGGACTGTGCGTGCTCCAGCGCGTGCGCACTAGTGTGACCCATGCACCGAGATGCGCATGTGTCCCGCCCGGACTCCCCCCACCCCCACAGCCGCACCCGCCCCGGGACTGAGTGAGCGCAGAGGGAACCCGCGCGTGCGTACTGGCGCGCAGCCGTGAGGCGTGGCACATGCGCCTTCCGCATCCTTTAGCTGTGGCCGCGTAAGGTCTCCGGATTCCCTGCGCATTTTCCCGCGCACGACGCAGAGAGGGGCGGCTGCGAACCCACAGCCCTGGCCCCGCACAGCCCCGGTGGGTACAGGCAGCTGCATCCGGCCTGTCTCTCAGTGCACCTACACTGCTCCACATTTGCAAAGTTAAAACCTGGTCTGGGGGGTGCTGGAGAGATGGCTCAGAGGTAAAGAGCACTGGCTGCTCTTGCAGAGAACCTGGGTTCGATTCCCAGCGGCCAACAACTGTCCCCTAACTCCAGTTCCAGAGGATCCAACGCTCTCTTCTGACCTCTGCGGACATTGCATGACATGGGTGCACTTACATACATGCAGGCAATGGAGCCAGGCCTAGTGGAGGCAGAGGTAGGCGGATCTCTGTGAGTTCAAGGCCAGCCTGGTCTACATAGTGAGTTCCAGGACAACTGGGGCTACAGGAAGACCCTGTCTCAAAAAGACCAAAGTAAATTAATTAATTAATTAAATAAAAAGATATTTAAATCGCACAACTTTAATCCCAGCACTTGGGAGGCAGGCAGATCTCTGCGAGATTGAGGCCAGCCTGGTCTACCTGAGTTCCAGGCCTGCTGGGGCTGCAGGGAGACTCTGTCTCAAAAAGACGAAAAATAAAGGACAAAAAAAAAAGTGAAATGGGGGAAGGAGTGAGGGAGTCGATGGGTAATAAAAGTGGAATGGTTATCACAGCTCCACCCTGAGCCTCCTGAAGGAGGGACACTGATCCTGAGCCCCCCAACCATACCGTCCGCCAGTCCAATGAACACCAAGTCTCCAAACCCCACAGCTTCTAAACCTTTGCCCACTCCATAGGGGAACATGCATTTTAGACTGATGCTCTGGACTGTGTGAGCCCCCACAGTTGGTCCTCTAGTGCAGCTTGTCCCTGGGGCTATGCAGGGCTCAGTCCTGCTTCAGCCCCAGGTTTGTGCTCTACCTTTGGCCAAAATGACTGTACTGTGTGCAAGGCTGCTCCTTCCCTCCCAATCCGTCCCCAGGGAGTTCTGGGAGCAGTGAGTGATGGTGAATGCAGGTGATGACCAGGTGGAAAAGGAGCCGTTGTCCTGGGTTCCTCCCTGATTCTCAGGCCTCTTGGCCACTTCCTGGGTCTAGTAGCTGGTTGCACTCTGAGGCCTGGCTATGACCAGAGAAATGAGTGCCTGGTGGAGGTTTAACAGGGCCCCTGGCAGCGTCCCACATGGGGTTATCTTTACAAGACAGGGACAGCCATGCACTGAGCCCAAGGTTTTTAATTAATTAATTTATTTATTTATTTATTTATTTATTTATTTACTTGACAGTGTCTCTCTGTAGCCCCAGCTGTCCTGGAACTGACTATATCAGGCTGGCCTTGAACTCACAGAAATCCGCCTGTCTCTGCCTCCTGAGTACTGCGATTAAAGGCGTGTGCCACCACTTTAAGGTGCTTCTTAGCCATTTTTATTTCATTGTTTGAGAACTCCCTGTTCAGGTCTATAGCCTGTCTGCTTACTGGATCATTTATTCTCTGTATATTCTGGGTATTAATCCACTGTCAGATGTGTAGCTGGTAAAGATTTTCTCCCACTCAGGGGTTTCCATTTCTTTAACCTGACTGTTTCTTTTGCTGTACAGAAGCTTTGTAGTTTAATGATTAACTTACTGAACATTGAATTTAATGTCTGAGCAGCTGATGTCTGATTTGAAAGTCCTTTCCTGTGCCTGTATCTTGGAAGGAACTGCTTCTGTTTTCTTGTACCAGTTTCTGAATTGAGGTTTTATATTGAGGTCTTTGATCCATTTGGAGTTGATTTTTGTGCAGGGTGAAAGATAGAGGTCCCATTAAATTCTC